AGATTTAGTCAAGCTCTTTGATCCAGACTGTTCAGACCCTTCTTGTGTTATGGAACATTTACAGATTTTCCCATGTGTGCTTGTATTGCAACATAAATTCACTGAATGCTATTTGGCAAGTTATTAAGTGGTTAAAGGCCATGACCTTTTGGATAGTGTGGTGGACCAGACTGAAATGTGTGGTTAATTAATATGGAAATAATAAATGCATAAGTATACCCAGAGAATTGTTTGATGCTGTTTAAATGGCAATATTAGAATATCAAAAAGGGAGACAACAACACATGTTGCTTACATTAGAAACCTCTGTTAGGACTCAATCAGTGACAAAATTGTCAGAAGTGAATGGAATTAGTCCATGGTACAAACCACTACATGATTTCTTTCCTTGGAAAGGTTACTTTCAGAGTCACAAAGTTTGCCAACGTGATCCTGTCTTTAGTCAGCCCTGTTCTGTGTCTCTGCTCTTTTCTGAGTTACTGATTTCTTACTGTAACAGCCCATGTCCTCAGCTCTTCAGGGACATCACTCTACACTCCCACTCCTGTCACTCCAGGCACTTTTTAGACTTTGTAGCATGTCCTCACTAGGCATTCCCCCTGGGAAAGTCTCAGTCAGCAGCTAGTAAAGCTTGTCACTAACAAGGTATCTCCCTTTATTTTCATCTCTCAGCTGATTAGCTGGGCAGGATTACTAGGCTTCTAGGTTGAGTGCTACGTGGGATGCCTTATTTGCTATTGATTGGGCTTTTTCAGTGAGGAGTCTCAACCTTTGGCTTCTTGCTTTCAGTCATTAACAGATTGTTGCAGTCAGTCTTTCACCTGTCCCGGTCTTAATGGAGCTTTTTTCAAGTCTGTAGGCTACATATAAATACTTAAAGGATGATTCTGCTGGAAAAATGTCTTGAAAGGAGAGATGTGTGGGCCTGTTTTGACAGGGGAAGAGGCTTTTGCTTGGTTATTAACAAAGAAATAGAGACACGCAAACCAGTACTTTTGAAAGACACTAAAAACAATTTTGAAGTTCATACACCTCCTCTTCTGGAGTGTATTTTATAATGGCTTATGGGACAGAGAGGCATAATTAGCACTACATTCATTGCCAGGGACAAAATGCCAACAGTTGTGTGCTTTGTTAATCTTCAGTCTCTCTTGTTACCCCAGCATGTAGCATCATTTATAGGTACCTGTATGGAATGAGGAAAAACAGGAGTCTACCCAGGCCCTAAGGGTGTTACCATTATTAAGGATAATATAATACCAACTTCAGAACTACAGGCCTGTTCTCATTCTTTTACCACGTGCCTGTGATATCAAATAATCCCAAGAAGAGAAAAGAACTAAATTAATTTCTTTCTTAGTTGCATGAAATATTGTTTTATGCCATACATTACACGTCAGCGGCCCTTTATTACTGTGGTATGTGCAAGCAGGATAGATCTTCCAAATGAGGAAAGAATGAGCTTATCCCTACAGAGACAGAGAGACTCTTACTTAATTAGAAGTCAGGCATATGTAGAACCCTTGCTGATGGATGTATAATTTCAGTTGGTGTAAAAAAAAAAAGACAAGAAGGAAAGAGGAGACAAGAGTGTTGCCTTTCTAGGTGCAGTTTGTGTAATCATACCAGATTCATCTGTGCTCTTTTCCATTTGTTTCTGGGCTCTGCCAGGGGACCTCTGGGAATATCCCAGAGCTACATGTCACGAGTTGACAGGAGGACTGCTAATTTTGCCAGTGTGCCATGCTAAATAGTGATTTTGATAATTTAACACACTGTTACTTGATAGAAGCATTCCTGTAGCTGCTTGATTTTTTTTCTTACTATTAAGCATATATGAGATTCATGTTTGATATGTCAAATAATCTTTCTGTAAAGATGATTGTGGACATAGGATGAAACAAGAGGAAGTTTCAGTATCCAAACCTACAAATTGTGTTCAAGTGATGTAAAGTAACTGCCATGCTAACAGCTTTGTCTCTCTGGCCTCATTTATTTTATCAAAACACAACAGCTATGGAGAAAAACTGAGCAAAAACATTTCCAAAGTGTTCCAGTTGGTTTTCTCAATAATGAACTGAACTTTAATATATTAAATACAAAATAGTAATAAATTACAATTGCACAATTTCTTACAGAGTTTTTATTAAGATCAAAACTTATTTGTTCAGACTAGATTTATATAAATAAATCACAGTACATTTTTACTTGTGTTTAGAAGATTGTAATACGTATTACAAAATTAAGATTTTTTTTTTTTGTCCCTCAAACCATCACTGCGAAAGGAATCATGCATTATTTCTACTAAACGAACAAAAATGCCCACCTAATTGAGAGAGCCTTGATACAGGTATGGCTCTACTCTCCAAAATTAGACATGAAACATAGAGATACCAGGACTATTTATTGAACAGGAAATAATAAAGTATAGTACAATGTTCATGTGTTATTAAAACCAAAAGTATACCAAAACAACACACCTCTCTTCACGCACCTTTGCAATGGGTATTAAAAATGACAGCTGGCCAGCATGCAACTGAGTCAAACATTCCAGTTTCACAATGTCTACGTCTGAGCAAAAGAAGGAGGAACTAAAAACCCCAGACAAAACAAAGGAACAAATGAACAGCCCAGATGCTTACAAGTCCTCTGGTCATCTTCCCCTCTGTGCCACGTGTGCTGCCTTCGGCGCACAGACGAAACCTTTCCTGGGTGGTGCCTTCCACTGCCATCTGGATTAGTGCGCCTTATGGACCTTCAAGGAGATGGAGGTCCTCTCAGAGAACTGGAGGACCCTGGAGAACTTCCAGCTGTAGTTCCTTGCCCAACCCACTCTATTAGAAATTAAGCTCTAAACATGACTCTTGGAACCACTCAGCCTTGAATGTGCAGTGCCATGAAAACCCAACTCACACCTCGCACAGCTGGGATCACCTACTGCAAGGTTGTCACTTCAGGACAGAATTATGGCTGCAGGAGAGGCTCGCCATCAACTGCAACAAGATCCAAGGTGATGCTGTTGCAAAGTCTGTCCCAGCACAGGGGTTTCTATTAAGTTCTACAGTATTGTGGATTACTTTCTCTACATGGTTTTTTCTTCTAGATAAGAAAGCCATTGTTTTCTCTTTTGATACTGAGATGTAATCACATTACAATGCACTGTTCTAAAGGGAAAAAAGCATTTAATTGATGACACTTCAGATGGAGTCACCTGATCTAATTTTTTTTTACTTCTGTTCAAACAAAATGCATCAACAGTAATTTCAGATCGATTTCTACCTGGGTAAACCAGACTTTTCAACTAAATTTCCCAGTCCCCATTTACCGTTTGCTACTTTTAAACTGAAAGGGAGTTTGCAGCAACTTTTTTGTTTTGATTGCAGATATTTCCCCACCGTGCTCGAACGTTGCCAGGTGATAAGCATGTAAACATGTCTCTCTATGTCGCTGACTTTTGGGTGCTCATGATAATATAGCTACATGTCATGTTTGCTTGTTTAAAAACATATAAAGGAAACCAAGCCAAACCAAAGGACAAAACCAACCAAAAACCCCCTAACAACCACCCTCTCAAACCAAAAAGGGTGGAGTAAAATAACCTCTTCTTTTTCATGCTTTTGCATTGCCCTTTGCTGTTTCATTTTGGACTGAACCAGGAGTTTTCCACTACCACTAGTAAAACTGGACTTCTAAGAAACAAGTTTCTCAAACGTACTGCTTTGGTGTTTTGTGGATCTGCTGGCATAGAAAGCTGAAGTGTGCAATGGCTGGTAAGAACAACTTGAGCACTGGGTCTTTTATACTACATGTTGTCTTTCTGTTGTGGTACTCCCCACCGCTGCCAGGATTACTGACAGGGAAAAGTAAAACTAAAGAGAGCAGGAATGCTTTTAATGTCTTGTGATTTCAGTGGAAACACACAAAGAAATATTTCAGCACTCAACTGCAGAAGAGTTGTGCTGGGAGAGTCTTTTCATGGGAATATCACAGAACTGTCCATTGTACTTGGCCTCAGTGTCAGTAACTCGGAAGGCTTTTCCATTGCCACTCGCTGCTTTTTCATAAAACAACATCTGACATGGTGGCTTGTTATGGAAAACTAGAAGTTAAAAACTAAAATTTAATAGCACGTTGTTAAAATGAGTGAAATGGGATTAAAATCCTACTGAGATGTACTTCTAAGGGATCTCCTCTTCTGTTTCAGGGTTAAGATACATTTCATACAGCCTAATTATGCATTCACAACAAATAAGAAAACAAATGAGGGTTTTAGCTTTGAAATAATTCTTGTGAGTCTACTACTAATTTACCTCTGAGAATCAGAGTTCAGAAAAGAAAGACTGAACAGTATAGGGACCATAGTTTGCTCTGAGTTTCCAGTGTAACTATCCTCTATTTCTTCCAGTGGCTGTTGTATTATTGTAATACAGTCCAAAGACAGCAACAGTCTACCGGCAGACCAGAACCATAACATGAAAATATTTCAGGTCTAGGGAATATCATTGGTTAAGTGGAGTATAAGGGTGAAGAGTAAAGTATCCAAATATAGAAAATAGCTATCATTCCATAGATGCACTACTATGATAAGGCAGATATTTGTAAAAAGCACATAGTAATGCCACAGCCTGAGTAACACTTTGCAAGTCATGAGACAGCAAAAATTAGGAGAATATAATAAATTTAGGGGGTTTTCCTCATCCCTAAGCCTTTGAGGTATGCTGGATTCCACTTAAAATGCTCACTGTCACAGAGATTTCTTTCTTGTTTTTTGGTAAAACTGCATTCAAAATAATTCTTTTGATGCCAGACCCTTGAGCATTAAATAAACTGAGTATGGTAATAAAATAAAAGAACCCCAACCCACTGGCAACTATAATGATACTACTTTTTGTTTGATGCCCCTCTGAATTGCTAGGGACAAATCCTAAAAGTCTCCTGCACTGCTGTGTTGGTGTTTTCACAGAACTCTCTTTTGCTAATGTTGCAGTGGCAAAGATGCCAGCTCCGCGTTCCAGGCAGGGGTGCGTGTATAAAGATTTGTCCAGGAAATCAAAGAACTCCACCCCAAAGCAAGAGCTCCTCCTCCTTTGCTCATGCCCATCTCCCCATATTGACTCCTGGGACATGAGCCTGGGTAAAGAGTGCAGGACTTTGCCTGAGGTGAGGATCATGCAGGAGCAGATACGCACAATGGATCACACCACTGGTCTGCTGATACAAAGCTTCAGCTGAAAGCACAGTGAAATAATTTTGCTGTGGCAACTTCGTGTCTGTTTTTCTTTCTTTTTTTTTAAATGCCCAATTGTTACTCATCTGAAACTGTGCTTGGGCAGGTTTTGAAGTGTTCAGTTTGCCAGAAGCACCCTTGCCCATGGTATTCTCCACAGCATGGCACGAGATTTTTGAAAACCACTGTACTTACAGGGCTTCTGCTTTATAGCTGCAGCACAACAAATCCAAGATTTCCTGCAAGTGCCAAGCTGTGCTTTACCCACTAGCAATCCTTATTTTCTGAAAGATCCCCATTGATAGGTTATAAAACTAATTTTTCAGATTTGGGGTAAGAATTTTAAATATTTCTTTAATCCATGCATGCATATCTGTGTCAGCAAAGTTGCAAATCCAAAACACTTGGTGACCATTCCACACATACAAGACATGAAGCAATGTGTGTGCACATAAGCTTATCTGAACTATATTTAAAGACCAGGGCTCCCTATCTGTAAGTAAATAGCAGACAACTGTACCGTATAAAATACCCATACTTTGCATTTGCATTTTTTAAACAGAAAAATCTTATGTAAAAACTTGAATCGAATTCTCTCTAGAAAAATTTGGAGGAAGAGAGAACTCCATGCATGGCTAAATAACTGGCAAAAAATTATCTCAGGGTCTCTTGGTTTGGGGCATAGATTTTATTGCGTGAAAGAGTCCAGCGCTTTGATTTATTTTCTTTTAATGGTCAGAATTTGTCAGAATTTACAATATACCATCATGTAAAATAGCCCTGCTAATTCTACCACAAATAGTAAAGGAAGTCTTCACAGGCACTATATATTTGGAACAGCATTTTAAAATGACACAGGGTGTGTTTGTGCCCAGGCACACGTGTGTGTGCTTGTTTGTATGATCAAGCATTGCCGCCTGTGACATGCTTCCAACATTTTGCAGTGTTGTGGACACAACTAAGAAACATTGACTGGAATATCATCTACAAAGGTTGAGGACTAACAACCTCCATGTTATACAGATGGTTATCTTCTTTCTGAAAGAACATACTGTCATTACAAATACCATATGCATCTTGTTCGCACCCAACAGAACTTTTTTTACAGTTTTTCAGATTTGAAGGATTTCTTCAAGCAACCATATTAATTTGTTTTCATGTAGGTGAAAGGAGGCACCAACTGAGACTGAGGACGCAACTTGTCATCAACAAATAAATGCCTGATGACAACCATTCTTGAAAAAAAATTATTTAGAAAGCTATCCATTCACAATACTGCACCTTTTTTGCAAATACAAGGACTACTTTTGTTGCTGCTTCCCATACTTGTTGGTTTCCATTGCTATCATTTTGCTTGTAAAACCTGGGTTATTCTAATGAACAGAAATGATGACTTGAATTTGGGTAATGCTTACGACCATACAAATAATCTATCAGTAGCAATAGTGTCAGCTGGAGAATTAATGCTACAAGTGGATAACATTACGCTACTTGAAACCAATAGCTCTTCACACAGTAGAAGACTGAGGGTCCTATTCAGCAAATATTCAGGGTCCTATGGCTGTGGCCACAGAGGTTCCAGAAGCTCTCGCTGAGTCTAATCCTGATTCAGGAACCAAAATGATATGCTGTGTATATATTTCTCTGCACAGCCTGGATGCGCTGGACACCCTCCCCCACTTGATTCCTGGGAAGGAAAAAAATATGTCTCTGTTTAGCTCAGTGACACGAAAAGCAATCCACAGTAATGAAATCTAAAGAAGTTAGCCAGGCATGTATGAAAAGAACAGGATGCCTGTAAAAAGGGAAGAACTGTCAAAACCTAATTGTGGGCTCTGGCTGCAATGAAATTTATCAAAGAGGGAAGACACGTTGGATATAATGATGTACAGAACTTTTGATGAGAGACACTTCTCCTATTCTGGGCAGGAACTACTGCATAACTACTCCTTGTGTGCTGTTTCAAGCCATTCCTATCAATGCTTGGCTACAGCTGGAAGCTCGGTGAGGTGTTTTCCAAACCCAACTCCCAAATGCCCAGGTCGGCATTTCAGGCATGGCACTTCAGCTCACATCTAGCTTGTCACTGAAGGCACAAACACACAGGCAGAGCTTCCCCACTTTGCTCCATCTTCTTTCACAGACAGTTGCACGTTGGCAGCCCCCGTGCTGTGCAAAGGGACGGTGCCTTCCCACTGCGACTCTGCTGAAACTGCGCCGCCGTGGTCCCCAGGCACTGGGAAATGCAATTGCTTATGGACACAGGGCGAGACTGTGGCATTCTTCCCAGTTTGTAGCATCTTCCTACTGCCTGAAAATTATTTATGGAACCGCCTGGGGTCAGCACTCACAGCCAGGCAGGTAAATCTTCAGCTGCACCTCTGGTAACACGGCCTCACTCTGATGCATAAAGTACACTCAGAGAGGCTGCCTCCACGTATGAGGCGCTTACAGCATCATTCTTGGCTTGATATGGATACTATGGTCTTTCCTGTCCTTCAGCATTGGGGATAACACTGTGGCTGTTCATAAACGTGATAGTTTCTTTTGACTGGGATTACTGCCTGACTTTAGGCAGTGAGAACAACAATGGAAGTAAGTTGTGGTAACTCTTAGGAAGCAATTTAGTTAGATCTCTGATGAATTTTTGTGTCTCATGAATCAGGATTAGTGTTCCCTGTATTGGGGAGAGGATTAGACAGAGGGATTAAAAGGACATCTTTACCCCACTGGACTCTGTGGAATAGCCCCTGAGGATATGGCTAAGAAAGAGTTCAACAGGAATGCCAAATTTCTGCTGAATAGGTTAAAAGGGTGAGGAAGCCTCTTCGGCAGCCATCCAAGCGCAGAAGACCTGCATAACATTCCTGCTGAATAGGGCCCTAAAGACAAAAAACAAAACAAAACAAAACAAAAAAACCATAGGAACCTTGAAAAGCTTTTCTGATTGTGTCGCTTCTTATCAGCGCCTCAGATCTCCAGAGACACTTAAACATATTTTTTTCAGTGCAGTTAGGCATCCTTTGAGATGTGCTAGTGCCATGGATGATATATTGTTACAAGAAAAGAAGTAAATTAGGTTGTTATATATATAAAAAAAAATAGGTCTTGATTGTTCTGTAAACAAGGTCCATTTCTTTTTGTCAATTATCAACTGAGAGTTACCCAAGATCGGATTTAAAACACAAAACCAAACCCTTAATTGAGTGTATAATGTTTGGTGTTCTCATACATATATCTTGTAGACATTAATTACTTTCTGTCTCCCTGAAATTGAAAGGAGCAGACTTAACTTTCGTTTTATGTTTGACTTTCAATATCGGTGTTTCCAAGCCCTTTTCTAGGATTTACTTCATGCATGTAGATCTTGGGTTTGTTCATAAAATTTTATCCAACCTCTAATGCCATATGGAGGAATATTCAGAATAATTCTAATGGAGAAGTAGGAAATAAAAGTCTTACCTCTACAAGAGGATGCCAGTGAGCAATGGGTTTCCGAGGATATGAGAGCATTTCGTTCCAGTGGTCACGACCTAGACTTTCTGCATCGTTGCCTACTTGACATACTCCAATGACCTCATTGTGACCTACACTGTGAAAATGTTTCATAATATTTTTTTCTTAAAATTTTACCTTTAGAACCATACCATTTGCATATTTAATCAGAAACATTAATAATGCATTTTTAGAATTAATTCTCTCCTGAAAAATATCATGTACTACAAAATACGTAGGTTTGCTCTTTGCATTTCCCACTAATCAGAACGATTTAATATTTCCCCCACTGTGCCTATGTGCATTTGTTTCTTATTTTTGCATGAAGAATATAAAAGGTTCTTTGCCTCTGTTCTGTTATTAGCTGCAAATCAAAGTAAACTCTAAGCCACAATTTTATAACTGGAGGTCTGTGTGTGAGGAGTTTGAAAAAATGCACACAAACAGAACATCAACGTGCAGAGTGTCTGATTATATGCTCAATTACTTCGGTTTTGGTAGACATATATGCAGCTTAGTTATGTCAGCTATGAAAGCAAATCTATATTTTGAAACGTAGAAAGGAAATTCTGCCTGGCGAAACAAAAAATTCGAATCTTCTACCAATATCAACATGAAATTAATTCTCCACTTATAGGGACAAAATTAATAACTTTCTTTCTGGAGGCAAATCTGCCGTGCAAGATTTTATAAGCCAACAGTTGATGTCGTGTTACAGCTACAGGTATCTCACCGGTCATAATCCATAACAGCTATCGACAAGTTAATTTGGTCAATGTTTTCTGGAGGGACGTCAAAGACTATGGCTTCATTGTAAACGGGATTAAGGGTATTCCTCTTGGTGGAAGTTTTTCTTTTCTTTAGTCGCCTTCCCTCACACATTAAAGAAACCTTCACGTAGGGATCTGTGGGAATCATAAGAAAAACGCTGATTTTCTTTTGACGCTTTTAAGCAAACATAATGGCAAGTGAAGGGAGCAGACTTCTTGTATTGCCCATACCTGCTTGCAGAATTCATCTTCTGGACCTGACTGGAATTTGAGCTTCTTTCTTACCATGGGGTGCCGGGGACGCAGTGGAGCTTTGAAAGCTTTACCTGGTTGGCTGCTTATAATGAACAATTTAGGTTCAAGAAGCCCCTTGTTGTGCACAAACTTCTCGGAGGGTATTAAAATATCCACTGAACCATGTTATACATGAGTATTTTACACAACAGCCTGTGTATCAGCCTATTTATAGCAGCCTAATTACTTGTTAGATTTGTAGCACAGACAGAAGATGACAATGTTTTTCACAATGGGATTTACTGATGTATGGTTAAATATAATTCAAAATGTAACAATTAGCAGCTTATATTTCTCAGGAGAATTATAATTATTTTTAAACTCCTGAATATAGTAAAAAAAAAAGCTATTTATTTGCAGGTCCTTTCTGGGAGCTGCACAACTCCCTGCTAGTATTTAAAAGTAATTTATGAATTTTTACTTAAATTAGTTTATAATTTTCATTATCAAATTTTGAAAAGGTTGCTGAAAGGACTCTGGGATGGTCACTTCTTTGTCCATATGCCAACAAAAGCAGCATTGGTTCAGTGGCTCTTGGAGACTGGCAGAGAGGGTCAGTCTGCCTCTGTGCCATAATCAGAATACTCTGCTGCTCAAATTCCCAGTATTAGGAATGCATTTTGGCCAACTCATGCTACTCTGAATCACAGTGGCTTTAGAAACAATAATCTCGCTGTCTACTTAAGAGTAAAGTACTTTAAATTGTCGGTTGCAACTGAGTAATCTAAAATATATTATTTATTTCTCACAAACTTCTGTTCTTGAGTAACTCATAATATCATAATATAAGAACCCTCTTCTGAAAAATCATTCTGGGATTTGAAAGGGTTGAATTCTTTGTCTCTCAGGAGGGAAATGGGACAGAAATCCATACTGAACATTAAATTAATTCATACCTGATGCTCCTGTGATATCCATTGCTTTTAAATTTCTTGCCTTTATTATTGTAATAGTTAGTCTACCAGCTGTTGGAAGGTAGCAGAGGGAAAACATAAGGTCACCAAGATCCACGTTATCCTGTTCCAAGAAAAGAGAGATAATATGAAGCAATAATAAGAATTTTCCTACCCACAACAGAAGCTAGAGATAAGAATATACCTTTGGGGATCTACAGTTTAGCAGGCAAAAGCTGAATTCTCATTCTGAAACACATCTGAAAAAACAGACATCCATCTGCATACAAGGTTTGAGTCGCTACGTTTGTTGCTGGGCCACCAAAGTTCTCGAGGGTAAATGAGGTTTTAGTTTCTAGCACTCAGTCCTTGGAGCTGACACTCATTTAAGTGATGAGATACTGTAAGGCACCAGAAAAATCTTTGTCCTGTTTTATATTTTGTAGTGATTTGTTTTGTACCATTGATGAGCAGCCACAGATGTCTGTGCCTTTCCTTCTGGTTTGCAGGAGGATACCCACAGAGAGTTTCACAGAAAAAACCATGGGTTGCACAGGACAAAGTCTTATGCAACTCTCAAGTTTGCATAAACTCAGGTGTGATAAGTCTGAAGTGTCTATGGCAATGGGACAGTCTCTGCTAGAAGTGGAGTAAGGACATTACTTCCTGTGCCTGGAGCAGACAAGCTCCCTTATCAACCTGTTTCAACCTGATTTACAACCTGATTTAGAACCCTTTCCTCTGTTAATGGCATTAACAGGTTTCAGAAAGGTAGTAGCAAGTGTGCAAACCCTATCTGCAGTTACAAAGCATTGCCTTCTTGGTTGTTTTTTCTTGGTCTTTTTTTGTTTGTTTGTTTTTGTTTGTTTTTTTGTTTTTTTTTTTATTGGTTGGTTGGTTGGATTTTTAAAAAGGGAAATTGAAGTCTTTTATGAAAAATATAGTGAATAAAGGATTGTATTAAATTATTTCTGTGATTTGATTTGCATTGTTTTGACCGAGCAATGAATTCATACTTTCACAGACCTGTCTCCTGTAACCTAATATTTCATTCTTGACTTCAAAGAATTATAATATCCAGCAAATTCAAAGCTACATTCCAGATTTTACAGGGAGGGAAATACAGCTGTTGTGGAGTATGTGTATCTTGCCCACTTAGCTTTGTGCCATAGCTCCTCTCCTTTCCCAATCTGGCTCCTTCTGTGTCAGCCACCAAAAAATGAAGGGTGGTGGATGATATAGAAAGTGAGTGAAAACAGCTCTCAAAACAGCCCCTAACACAGGTTTGTCTCTGAGCTGTCTCTGGCTTCTGTACAGATCAATGCCCAGAGCCTGAGCCGTTATATTACATAGTTTCATGAGTTACTAGGGGAGATAAGCAGGACAGAAAATGTTGTTGTCACAGAGTCATAGAAAAACGTTGTGTCAGAAGGGAATTTTAGGTGTTGCTTGATCCAACCCCTTGCTCAAGAGAGGCATCTTCGCTTTAGTTCTCAGCTCATTCGAGGAAAAACCCCAAAACATGCAAATTCATTCAAAAGTAGGTCCTTTCCTTGTGCTGTTAATTAAGAGAGATGCTGCCAAAGAAGGAAAAGGCTGATATTATGGGCCCTTTGTCAGGAATAACCAGCTTTTAACTCTGAGTTGACTTCATCACTTATCATCTTTTCTGTTCTGAAGTTCAGTGTTTCATGGTAGCTGTAAAGCTAATAAAGGCTGTGACAATATCGAGGTAGCTCAGATGAGTCACCCAGTTTAGTGTCTCTTGATGGTGCACACTTGGTAACAGACCTGCTGCAACAAACTGTGTCATTGACTCACTTTGTGAGAGGATCAAAGTGCTGTTTGAGAAGGTGATGCTGTAAGAAGTATTACAGGCTGAAGCAATGTCAGCACACCCAGGAGGACAGCACATCCAGCACTTAACAATGCAGGAGGAATTTCCCAGTGATCAGCTGCAGCTCGATACCTATAACCTGGGGAACAGGAAGCAAACTTTTCACTTATCCTTCCCACTGTGATGAAGAACAACTTCCAACATGTGAGTGTACTTCACCAGCTCTGGGGTGCTGAGATTTGTGGCTGTGGAATCCACTCGTGCTGCATTTCTGAGGGGAGCAGGATTTCATAAGCCATTTAGAGAAATGATTGTCTGAAGCCATCTTTTGGGAATTTGTCAGTCTGGCAAGTTTTTTATAGAGAGGTTATTTTCAGTGAATTGGTCACTAGCCTTCAGAAGAAGACAGCATTGCTGAATCACTCAGGTTTTCCCTGACCATAAAGAAGCCATCAGGCAGCTGTTGCTATAACTGTGTATTTTGGCATTCCTCAATACTGTCAGCCACAGCAGCCTCACTCTGTATTCAACTCCAGTGCTCCACATGGTGACTAGGAATTCATTCTGTGAGTACTGTAAATGCTTTACTGTTACTACCAAATACAAGAGTTTCCATTCCAGACTTGGTCATCCTGAATGAACATTTTAAAAACTTGTTATCAATTCTTATCAAGAAGTTCATAAGTAAATGTATTACTACACAATTGTTTCATATATAAATGCCAAGAAAAATCATAGTATCACAGAATACCCTGAGTTGGAAGGAACTCACAAGGATCATCAATTCCAACTCCTAGCCTTGTGTAGGACACCCCGAGAATCACATATGTGCCTGAAAATGTTGTCCAAACACTTCTTGAACTCTGGCAGTCTTGGTGCTGTGACCTGGGGAGCCTGTTCCAGTGCCCAGCAATCCTCTGGGTGAAGAACCTTTTGCTGATATCCAACCTAAACCTCCCCTGACACAGGTTCATACCATTTCCTCAGTCTTGTCACTGGTTACCAGAAAGAAGAGTTAAAATATGTTAACCTTCTGCATAAATGAACTGGTTAGGAAAGAATGGATCCCATATGTTGAATGCAGTGTCAGGAATTATGCCATAATATACTGGTCCACAAACTTTGTCTTACATGTGAAAAATAATTGTCACCTGCACTGTGATGTGTTTTTAGCAAATGCTGCAATGACAATAATACTTCATTAACACTTTTTGAAAAATTGCATTGGGTATTATATGGGAAAAGCATTGTTATGCTGGAAACAGAGTCTGTGATTTCTTCACCCTTTTCCAGTTCTTGAAGTTACAGGTGTTGTAGCAATAGGTCACAGATGCCCGTGAGATTGTCTGTTCATAAGCCAATACCAGCAGTAATCTAACCAGGGCAGTCTGGGAATGGGACTGAAGGGAAGCTTGCAGGCAGCAGCAGGAAAGAGACACTTTTTGGCATGCAAATCCTTCTCCAAGTCTGAAAAAGAAGCCCTGCCTACTCACACTTTCATTTTGACTTGTAGAGAATGAATGACTACTCCATCATACTGGCTACTTGTGAACGTTTCTTTAATTTTGGTAAGACAGATTTTCTAATAGAACCTTTCCCCATGCCCTGGCTATTTGTCCCTGCTCATCCCTGTTTCTGTAATCAAAGGGCAACATTTTCAGCTGTTCCTATCATTGTAAATTTTGCTGTTGGGGCCTCAAGGTTCAGTTAGAAAGGTTTAATGAGGGAATGTTCTTCAGAGAGTGCCACAATCTGCGACTGCACACAATCTGTGACCCTTCCATCCAGCAAACACCAGTCTTTACTATAAATGCAGTTTCCTAACAGAACCAAAGCCTATGCAACAGAGCCCAGAGAGGATTAGTGCACATCATCACAAGTTTAAAATCACTGAGCTACATGGCTTAAGCCACGGATTGTCACTAAAGGTGTGCTGTATTAGCAAGAAATAGCTTCAAGGAACAGAATTAACAAGTATAGAGGGCAGGATCTTCTGCAAGGATTATGCTCCTGTTTGAATTGAGTACTTATGTGTTACTATGTATGCTTAACAATACGTGGCAATGTATTACACTGCCAGAGACATTTTAAAATTTCTGCATAGAAAGAAATTTCATAATATGGTAGGTTATTGAGTCATGCATGTTGTACAATCTAAATATGTGTCTTCCTTCATTCAGTGTGGTGCTAATACCACACTGTGCATGTTATGGTGCAATCATGACAGCCCCAATATAACCAGACCAAAAGGCTGGGCAATGGCATTAATAACTTAAAAGAAAATAAGTAGAAGATAATTCAATTCCAATTATAATTTCTGTATATGTACATGCTGTGTATTATTTTTCTTTTGGTCCTGTTCAGCATGAAACATAAAAGAAGAGGAAGAAAACACTGCTTCTATTTTTAATCTATAAATCTATAACCTGCTCATTCCTGTGTTTTTAAAAAGGTAGAACATGGCTGGCATCTGCTTTGCTTTTCCAGTGCCCCAGGCTTTGGCCCCAGGCTTGAGGTGATGGCTGAGTGCCTTGATGTTGTTAGCTGTGCCTTACAACACGCTGCACAGTCTGTTTTTGATAATCCCACCTAGATTTGTCTCTGAGCCCTTGTCCTGTTCATGCAGTCCTTTATTCAAAAGGGCAAGAGCATGAAGTTTCTTCCTTTAAAACATCCCAGTGTTACCTAGGAGAGTTATATGTATTCAATCCAGCTGGAGAGTTCAAACCAGAGGTGTAAATCACAAGGTTTGCCTGAAAACTGCAAACAGAATGAATCCCACACTGAAACCTCAAGGCAAATTTTACTCTTTGATTCCTGTTAGGAGGATGGAGACATAGCCCCCCTCACATTATCCTTCCTCCTTGCTCCATTTTCTGGTGGAAATAATTGATAACATTACAAAAATCATATTATTTGAATAATTTTCAGTGGCTTCTACTGAAAGGTTTAATGTTCCTACTTTTCCAAGAAAACATTTCTGTTTTTCCTCCTGTAAAATTAACACAAAATAAATATACCTTTAAAAATGTTGAATTCTAATAGTAATATTAATAGGTTTTTAGTCTAGAATCACATGGTATTTATAGAACTTAAAATTATTAAATTTTGTTGGCGAATAGCCTGCAGGATTAATCACTCCCTAGTACTGTGTCAGCAGCTCCATGCTGTTGCTTAGTGAGTATAACTCAGCATATTAAACAGGGAGAAGTGTAACCTTTAAGAGGACAGTGAACATGGGTCCCTAAATGGCCTCACCTTTGATACCTGGGAGGCTGCATCAAGCA